TACGATAAGCCATGAAGATCCAGAATGGTAAATAATTGTTATAATAATTATTATTATATATTATTTTATAATTCTTTGTTCTATGTAAATCAGGCTAAAAAAATTTTGCGGCTAGCTGATCAAGTAGGTGAAAATATTGCAAAAATAAAATGTACCAGAAAACGGTGATACAATAATGAAAAATGGTTTGATAAATCAAAACCATTACTAAATAATCCTCCTGCCTGAACCATTTCAACCATGTATCATTCTGAAGAAGATGATGAAGATGAGTATGATAGTGATAATGATAATGGTAATGACAATGTAAATGAATTAGAAAATGAATATAAAGATAATGATAACGCTGCCGCAAGTAGCAGTGGTACTGCCGAAAATAGTACACCGAATAAAAGAACTGATAAAGATACTAGTAGTTCTCGTGAAGAGAACAAAAATCATTGATTCAGGTATTCACCCAATTAGCAACGTAGTTATAAAAACAATACATAGAATTATTTTTGTATTTTTATATTAATACTATATTGCATTTAGTTAGTTCAATAGTTACTATTTTCATATGTATTATTGCTTTTAGCATAGTGACATAATATGAGTATTAATACTATAATAAATATATTTAGTTGTTGATTGCTTTAATATGACGTTTAATAATGACTTGTAGTTAATTGAGTATAAAATAATAAAAGAAGTACTACGTTAGTTAATAGCCATATCGGAAAACCCATAAGCATTTAAGATAAACTGATAGATATCTAATAGTTTACCAGTTAGTCTTATATATAGAGCATTTGATAGAGATATCGAATAATCTATAGGTATATCGATTTAACCGATAGTTGCCTTAACTTTGTTTTATATTTGTTTTAAATCTTTCTGATAGGTGCTCTATATCCACCAAATATCTAATCGATATAGAAGCCAAATTGACCGAATATCGGTAATAAATATCGGTTCAATTTCATTGTCTTTTCGGATATCTATCGGTTCATATTGGCATGCCGATAGTTGCCTGGTATGTCTTCATTTGACCTGTGATAGTCATTTTTGTTTTGAAGTTTTTTAGAGTTTGTTTTGTGTAAGTGATTTACAGAAAGAGTTAGAAGATATAATTTTTAATTATATGATTATAAAAAGGTATGACTATATAATAAATAAAATATTTAAAACAAATCTTTATTTTTTAACAAAAATTTTAATTTATTTATATTTTTTAATAATATATTATTTTTTTATTTTTAATTTTTAAATTTTACTTTTTTTATTTCAGCGATTTTTTTTTTATTTTATTTATCAAAAGTAGATTACAAATATGCTCTCAGCTAGCTAAGCTTATATGCAAATTGTTAATACTACTATATTCCTATACAAATAAAGAATCTCTTGATCTATCTTATTATCGCAGTAAAACCATGGTCAAAGCCCAGGATTTTATGCTAGAGTATAACCTAGGAGTAACCTGCCTAAGTGACAATTTTCCTCCATCCAGGATCCTCAACTTACTGAGGATATGAGCTCTGGACTTCACTAGATAAAAGCACTAACCTTGTCAGAATCACCACTTTATAATAGAGTATTGCCAATCTGATGACACTTTCTCGTAGAAAAGTAAAAAAAAAAAAATGAAGTAAGTGTAAAACAAAAATAGGGAAAGTAAAAAAAACTAAAACATATAAAAAAACAACCAAACTATAAAGGAATTTAAAAAACTATCCTAAAATCTAAGAGAACTTGTCTACAGATATAAAAACCTGCTAACCAGATGAAAAACTATCTACATGGTCATAGAAATCTATAAATAGAGCTATTTGACAAAAAAGAAACTATAAACTAAATATACTTTATCTGTGTTAAGGGCTAAAAATTATATGCATATAACTTTGGAATATTGTATATCTCTATTATATCACTCTAGTTTACACCTCTTATGAAATCTATCTCGAATCCTAGAACGCTGATTTTAAAGCCTTGATACGTAATCATCGGTTCTAGTTTATAACAGGCCAATTTTTCCTAAAATCTTTTTACAGTCTTCACTTCGAACCTTGCTTTTTTGTTATACAAGATTAAATAGGGTCTTCCCTATAGTCAACTGACATCATTAGAAACTACTTCCTCAAGTTCGTCACATAAGGCATTTATTTCTGTCTAGTCAACACCGATCCAAACATGGGTCTTTCTGTGTACTTCAATTTTACCTAAACAGAACTTTCTACTTACATATGATTGTTGTGTTTCTAGTTCGTCATATCATAACTCAAAATTTTCTGAAAATAGAAATATAAGCAATGCCGATCTTTTGGAAAGGAGTAACCAAATCTCCCACTTTTTGTCGAAAATTATGAAAAAAGAGAGCAATAGAGAAAAAATATAGTTTTGCGAGTTTTTTAACCAAGGAGTGTTGTTCTAAGAGTTCTTCATAGCTTTTAGTTTCCAAACTAACTTGAGTCTTCCTTCTACTTACTGTTCCCAGAGACTCCTCTGGTTTGGATGCCAAATGCAAAAAGAAGTCCACCCAAGAGAACAGAAAAAAAGAACTTAACCTCTTTGCAAACTGTCCAAAATACCCGCTCCTCGGTGTATTACATTTAGAACTTCGTCAACAACAGTTTGTATTCAGAAAACTTCAAGTTATTTGGTCTCTTCTGGTCTTGAGTCTTTAACTTGATTTCGGAGACTGGTTGGTACAAGTGATCATTGGGGAGAGTTGGTGTTTTTTTTTTTAAATTTTACAAATTAACAAAGTTTAAAAATAAAATTATTTAATTTAAATAAATATACCCAATATTAAAAGCTTAATAATAAAAATATACTAGGTTAATGCACAGCATTTTGTGTCCGAAGCACAATAACAACTAAGATCTAATTCATTTTTGATATGACACAAATCAAAATAATATGATGCATCAAAAAGGTAACTATTTACACTGTGGACAGACACCAAATACGGAAGTTACATTTTTGATATTCACATTATTTGTGCATCAAAAATGTTACTTTTGTATCACCTTACGTAAATATATAAAGTCCTCCGCTACGCTTCGGACAATAACAAAAAAATTTTTATTAATCCAAATTAGGATTTAATTAGGCATCGCATCCTTGCGATATACTTATACATCGCATCTTAATGACCGACCAATCAAATTTCAAGATCACGTGTAACGTAGCACGATCAGGAAATTCAAAGCAAACGTTCGCTTTGCTTATAACTCAAAATTTCATATATGAAACTATCTTTCGCACTCTAACAAAAAAAAATTCTTTGCAAAATTTTGCTGTAAGATCTCTACCCTACTTAACCCGAATCCTAAATAAGCATCCAAGTTTATTTTTGTTGTTGTTATTTGATCTTATGGCGACAAATTATAATTGTACGATGTATAAGCACATCGCAGGGTGCGACTTATACATTTATCCTTTAAATTAAATAATATATTTTAATATATTTAGTTAAATATAAAATCTTTGTTTTAAAAATTACGCTATAAAATATAATAAATTATATGTTTTATAACGTGATTTTAAAACAAAAAATTCATATTATAAACCATTATTGCCAATCTATTTAATAATAATCAATAAAAAGCCAGTTACAGTATAAAAGTTAATACTGTAAAATTATATTTTAGATTCTGAATTCCCGATTCTCAGATTCCGTCTAATGTATGATGCTGATCACAACAATTTGAAACCGCAATAATATAATACAGTTTAAGCATTAATTGCCATATAAATTTTTTTGTTTACTAAAATAACTGAATAAAAATTTTGTCAAACCCTTTCTAAAAGTTCTAAAAATTTTAAATTATATGCAAATCATTTTCCAGAATAACGTTACTCCAATATCGATTTGCATATCTAAAAAAAAAAAAAAAACGATTATCGTTAATTACGAGATTTTCGAAGTTCGGTGATTTTTATGGAAAGGTATGCAAAAAATTCAAAAAAGCGAATAGGTTCTAACTAAATTTAGTGACTTGAATAACAATAACGATAAGGGTCAAAAATTCACATATCCGCCTTTATTACATCATGTACACATAACGTATAGCAAAATTTATCAGTGGCTTAGCTTTTGTTGATATGACTAAACAAATTATTCGTCTACTAAATAGAAAAATTTAATATAATATCGTAGCAATACAAACCTGATTTTCGGTTCATAAATACGTATATTCTACGTATATAACTTAGTTATCAGTTTTGTAGGCAAAATTCTTATATATATATATAATATATAATATATATATCTATATATATTAGGTAAAAAGAATATGTAAAGACATTATACGTACTATTGTTGCTGTATAATGAGCACGGTCAAAGATATCAAAGTGCAGATCATTTACTTATACAATTAATTTGTTCACACAGCTACGTAACTTATCATATATATACCCAAAGAAATAAAAGGAATAGAAAGATATACGTGCATAACTTGATAACTCCCGTCAAAAACTACCGAACTGCATGTTTATTTCCTTCTTTTTTATTTTTTTTTTTTCGCACGAAATAGAACCAAAAATCAGAGAGTTTCGTATTTGTCAAACAAGAGAAGCAATTGCGATTTAATTGGCGAAATCATCACGTGACTAGTCCAAAGATTTCTTTTTTAAATAAGAAAAAAAAAGAAAAAATAAAAAATTTAAGGTTCTAAAGAATTCAAAACAGGTAAATGTCATATGAACAGTTATGTGATTTGTGTGTTAAACAGTAATATACTTAAACAGTTGCAAAAAAAAAAAAAAAAAGAATCTTGCAAAAAAAAAAAAAAGATCGCTCATGTGTTTGTGTAAGTATCGTGTAACAGTGTAACATTGAAAAAATCAACAATAAAAGGCTTTATAAATTCTTTTCGAACGAAACGCACTGGTAATAATTATTGATTTATCAGGTAAAATAAATGAATTATACTGTTTAACAAACAACTGAATATATATCTATTAATTTATATAGTCAAATTCACAAATTATTTTTTTAAATATTAATAGATAATCATGGCGAGTGGTCTTAAACTTACAGAATTTGTAAAAAGGCCTGGCCTTGGTACAAAAGGAAAGCGTATAAGAGTTCGCGCTAATTTTTTCGAGGTTACTGGACTGCCTGATGCCAACATACATCACTATGATGTTACAATTACTCCTGACGTACCACCTGCCTTAAACAGAAGAGTCTTTAAACGGCTCGAAGAACTTGAACGTAATAATGGTTTGGGTGACGTTAGACCTATCTTCGATGGTAGAAAAAACATTTTTACTGCGAAACCTTTGCCGTTTGGAGAGACGACAACATTTGATATAAATATCCCAGAAGACGATGGCGTAACGTCAACAAAGCGTCCACCACGTTCTTTCAAGATTAAAATTAAAAAGGTCAACACAATTAATATGGAAGAACTTAGAAGATTTTTAGAGAGTAAATCAGAGTTGACACCAAATTGTTTGACTGGTTAGTTAATATTCATTTATGAATATTTGATTTGTAATCAGTAAATTTTATTATGAAATTATATATATATATATATACTTTTATAATTAATGGATTATAGCTATCATGGCACTTGATGTTTTGGTTCGGCATCATCCATCAATGACGTATACTACTGTCGGAAGATCATTTTATACCCCCGAAGGTTCACAGCCTCTTTTTGGCGGTGTGGAAGTATGGCAGGGGTATTATCAGTCTGTTCGGCCTACGCCTAATTCAATGATGATAAATATTGATTTAAGCGCCACTGCGTTTTATGAAGGCGGTCCATTGGTCCAAATGGTATTGAAGTTGCTTAATCGACGATCCGCTGATGAATTACGTCGTGGAATAAGTGATAGAGATCGTCTTAAGCTTGAAAAATCGTTAAAAAAACTTAAAATCAAAGTTACACATAGAGGTGATACTGTAGCGAAACGTCGATTCAAGATACTTAAAATAACAAGTACACCTGCTTCTTCAACTAAATTTGACGTTGAAGGTCAAACTACTGATGTGGCCTCGTACTTTCAAAAGACATATAACATGCGTCTTAACTATCCGTTTCTTCCATGCGTCGTGATTCGAAAAGAAAATTACCTTCCTATGGAAGTATGTGATGTAATTGAAGTAAGTTAATTAATAAATTTTATCAAATTTCTTATGCATGAACGCGTTAATTATTATGTTAAAGTTGTTTTAAGGACTTTTAACAATTTTTATTAATTATTATTAAATTTTTTTAAAATTTTTCAGGGTCAACGACATGTTCGTAAATTAAACGAAAGACAAACTGCCGATATGATTAAATTTACATGTCAGCAACCTCATATGAGAGCAAACAAAATCAAGCGAGGAATTGAAATTCTCAATTATCGTCAAAATCCATACCTTCAGCAATTTGGTATGAAGGTTTCAAGTGATATGGTGGTAGTAAATGCACGCGTTCTACCTATTCCCACTTTACAGTATCATCCATCATCTAGGGAGGCCTCCTTTAATCCCAGGGATGGTCAATGGAATTTAAGAGATAAAAAAGTTGCAACTGGTGCTACTCTTGGTTCATGGGCTGTAATCGCGTTTGGAGGTGAACGTGATATGGGAATGCAAGCCATAAGTCATTTCATTAGAGAATTGATCACTACTTGTCAAGATACTGGCATGAATATACCAACTAGAAACCCTCCTATATCGTACGCTAACCCTCATGGTGACATTGAAGCTTCTATTAAACAGGCTTGGGTTCGTGCTGGTAACGCCGCAAAGAATAAACCACAATTGATATTGTGTATATTACCAAACACGGGTGTTGGACTGTATGCTGAAATTAAACGTGTTAGTGATACTGTTATTGGGGTGGCAACTCAATGTGTTCAAAGCAAACATATGTTTTCTGCGAAAAAGCAATATTGTGCAAATGTTTGTCTTAAGATGAACGTGAAACTTGGAGGAATGAATTCTTTCATTCTTCCTGCTGAAGTACCATTTATTTCAGAAAAACCAACTATTTTAATGGGTGCCGATGTTACACATCCTGGTCCTGGTGATACTATTCGTCCATCCATTGCTGCTCTTTGTGCTTCAATGGATTCCAAAGCATCACGTTATGCTGCTTCTATTAGATATCAAACTGGTCGTCAGGAAATCATTACTGATTTAGCCAGCATGTGCAAAGAATTATTAAAAACTTTCTACCAAACTTGTGGAAAGAAGCCAGAAAGAATTTTATTTTATCGTGACGGTGTTTCTGAGGGCCAATTTTCACAAGTTCTTGAAGAAGAAATCAAAGCGATAAGAGGTATATATTATTGTATTATATTATTATTATTATTCAATTCATCATTTTGTCACAAAATCACAATATGCTCATTTAAATTCTTTCAAATTAGCCGCGTGTCGTGGACTTGACGCGAATTATAAACCTAAAATAACTTTTGTTGTTGTGCAAAAGCGGCATCATGCGCGATTCTTCCCGATGGAGAGAA